TTGGAGCAACTCGTTGGCAGCTAACAACAACAGAGATGATTTAAAGTATATGACAGGACATGTGTAGGTTACATACAAATGCTACACCATTTCATATAAGGGGCTTGAGCATCTGTGGATTTGGGTATGAGAGGAGGGAAGGTAGGGTGTCCTGGAACCAGTCCCCCACGGATGACACTGAGGGGCGACTGTACCTCAAAGCGAATTTGAAGAATACGTCCTCAGTCAGTCATCAAAAGGTGGTGGTCACAGTAAAACCATCTTATTTTGGTTCCAGGAGCCCTGGTGGTGCAACAGTTAAGGACTCAGCTGCTAACTGAAAAGTTGACAGTTCAAGCCCAACCAGCAGCCAGGCAGGAGAAAGACCAGGCAACCTGCTCCTGTAAAGATTACAGCCTAACCACTGTCAACCACTCTCTGGGGATCTATGTTGGAGATCCTGGATAGAGACAGAGAACAATGTGGAACAAAACTCAAAATCATTTGAGGAACAAAAAAAGGAGGGACCAGGTTTGCTGGTGTGATAGAGCCTGTTGGAAGCCCTGAGACTATGGCCCCCAGCTGCCCTTCAGGTCTGGAATTGAACCCACTCCTGTGGCATCCAGCCAAACAAAAGACAGGCATATGAGTTGAACATTTACCTCAGGTAGATACACTCCTTGGAGAGAACAATCATGGGAGAAAGAAGGGCTGTGTTTGCACCGGGAGACAGACAGCTCAGGGGGCAGGAGTGCATGGAGGGATGGACGCAGGGAAGAGGTAACTATGCGGAGGAAGTGGGAGGGGAGCTGTTGCATTGTGGGAAATTGCAGTCAAAGTTATGAGACAACGTGTATGTGAACTGCTGTATGGAAAGTGAATTTGCTCTATACACTTTCACCGAAATCACAATTTAAAAAAGAACAAAGATGACAGCCTCCACCCTATGGGGCTGTTCTACTTTGTCACCTGGGATCACTATGAGTTGGAATTGACTGAATGGTACCACTCTGGTTCCAAGGAACATAGCTAAGGATGCAGATGTTTATTTACCAGAGTTGCACTGAGTTGTTTTGTCTACTGAAGAGTGCGTGGTCATTCAAAACACACCTGGATATGGGATTTCCAAAGGAGTTCTCATCAGGGACCTGAGAACTGTGGAAGAAATCAAAACCATTTTTTCTGAAAAAGCCACAGAAGCCTAACAACGTACTTCATATTAAAGTGGAAAAATATTCCAAAGGAGCAGCTTCAACTTCAAGGAGAAGAAACTAAACCAAGAAGTTTGTTCATCTTTCCTCCATTTACGATGGATGTGGCTGTATCTTCAATGGTGTTAAGAAGTACTGGGCCTTAATGCAATTCTGAACATTGCATTAAAAAAAAAAAAAAAATCAAACTCACTGCCATCGAGTCATTTCTGATTCACAGTGACCCCACTGGGTTTCTGTAAATCTTTCCAGAAGTAGATCACCCAGTCTGCCTTCCTCAGAGCAGCTCGTGGGTTTGAACCGCTGACCTTCCAGTTAGCAGTCAACTGCCTTATCCACTATGCCATTCTACAAGCAGTCCCTGACTTATAACGGATTCGAGTTAGGACAAACCTAACCATTTGTACTTACAACGATTTGGGGGTTTTTTTTTGGTACTCTTATCATCAGTGATAGGTACTACATCCAGCGTGGCAGGGTGTCATTAGATGACATTATCTTTCTCAGATGTCCCCTCGCACTTGTTTAATATGTAATGTTTCCAACTCCTGATGACAAATAACAATCAGATTTATAAAGATACTGATAATAAAAGGCAAGGATAATGAAAAAGAAAAAATAAAAGTGGTATTATTCGACTTCCGTCAGAACTGATTGACGACAGTATCAAACAGAATACTGTCTTAAGTTGGGGATTACTCATATGAAAAAGTAATACAGGCTTTGTTACAAAGAGCTAGAGACCTATCATCATTAATGTTTTTAAGATTGTGTTTTATAGAAAAACACTTCAATGTGTGCTGGTATTTTCTTCTGTTGAAAAGACTGAAAGATTAAAATATCATAGCAAATAATCAACATTATATTTTCTGTCCACATTGAGATATTGTGTATGCAAAATGCCTTAATTATTAATAAGCCAATATGTTATGATACCAAGAGCTGTTAAAAAAAATGAAAACCAACCATGTTCTCGGCATGATAAAACCATATGAAGTCAAGTATTTTACATTCATGTAGACTATTGTTATTAAAACCTATTTCACACCATTTTGAAACTTGAGACTATTTTTAGTATCTAGTTTTATGGCGTAGTGCCTAAGGCATTTGACTGGTAACCAGAAGACTGGCCGTTTAAACCTACCAGCCACTCCTCAAAAGGAAGATTTGGCAATCTACTTCTGTAATGATACCGCCTAGGAAACCCGAAGATGGGTCACTATGAGCTGGAATCTACTTGGCAACAGTGAGATTTTTATTTCCTAGGGAGCTTTGGTGGTGTAGTGGTTATGATGTTTAGCTGCTATCCAAAGGTCTATGGTTCAAACCCACCAGCCACTCCCTGGAAGAAAGACGGAGCAGTCTGCTTCCATAAAGATTTACAGCTTTGGAAACCCATTGGAGGTCACTGTGAGTCAGAATCAACTTGATGGCAGTGACTTTGGTTTGCTTTTTGGTTTTGTTGTATGGAACAGGTGTCTAGTATTTGCAGGTCTTGATCATTTAAGCTTTGCTCACTTGAATAAATTCACTAACTATTAAAAAAATAAAAATAAAAGTACAGAGATGGGATTACCTAGGCAATGCTGGATGGAGAACTTGAAGAAGAGGGACTAAGAAAAAAGCAGGTGGGGATTTGAAGGAGCCAGGTCATGGGACTCTGTGGATGTCTCTCTAAGTAACGGGTCACCACAGTAAAAAATCAAAGCTAGTCTGGCGCTCATGTCTGAGACCATCTGGAGAGGAGAGAGGTCACTTAGGACAGAAGCGTGATTACGGGAGAGTTAACATGTTATCAAGAACGACCAGTCCCCATTGCTTGGCCACTCAGAGCGACCGAGTAGTTGATCCTGTGGGCTTGGGACCATAGTCACAGGGGACATCAAGCTCAATTGGCATAACATACTATACAAAACATTGTTCCACCTACTACTTTGGCGAGTAGCGACTGGGATCTTAAAAGTAGCAAGCTGCCATCTAGATGCAACAATGGGTCTCTCCTCGTCAAGAAGAAGAAAATCAAAATTAATGGAAACAATCAGTCCTAGCGACTGGTACACCATCCGATCTGCAACCTATACAACTATGAGACCAGAAGAACTAGATGGTGCCCGGCTACCACTGCTATCCACTTGGAAGGGATGTACGAGATCCTGCATAGAGAGGGAGAACAATGTGGAACAAAACTCAAAATCATTTGGAGGCAAAAAAAGAAGGTGGGGACCAGGTTTGCTGGTCCAATAGAGCCTGGGGGAACCACTGAGACTATGGCCCCTAGCTGCCCTGCAGGTCTGGAATTGAAGCCACACCTGTGGTTTCCAGCTAAACAAAGTACAGGCATGTGAATTAAACATTGACCTCAAGTAGACACACGCCCTGGAGAGAACAATCATGGGAGAAGGAAGGGCTGCTTATGCACAGGGAGATAGCTCAGGGCGCAGAAGAGTATGGAGGGATGGACACTGGGAAGAGGTAACTATGGGGAGGAAGTGGGAGGGGAGCTGTTGCATTGTAAATTTTGGTCAATGGCATGAAACAAAGTATATTATGTGAACTGCTGTATGAAAAGTGAATTTACGCTGTAAATCTTCACCCAAATCAAAATAAAATTAAAAAAAAAAAAAAGAAGGACCAGTCCCTGGAGAAAGACATCACGCTTGGTAAAGTAGAGGGTCAGCGAGAAAGAGGAAGACCCTCAATGAGACGGATGGACACAGTGGTTGCAACAATGAGCTCAAACCTAGAACAACTGTGAGGATGGGAAGGAACTGTGTGGCCTTTAGTTCTGTTGTAAGTAAGGTCGCTACGAGTCAGAACTGACTCCTAAATCAAGGGCTTAGGAACCCTGGCGGCCCAGTGGTTAAGCACTCAGCTGCTAACCAAAAGGTCAGCGGTGTGACCCCATTGGCAGCTCCTGGGGAGAAAGATCTGGTCATCTGCTCCCATAAAGATGACAGCCTTGGAGACGCTAGGGGCAGTCGTATTCTTGCCACCTAGGGGCTCTGTGAGTTGGAACAAGGAGCTCTGGTGGTGTAGTGGTTAAGGCATTTGGCTGCTAACCAAAAGGTTGGTGGTTCGAATGCACCAGCCACTCCATGGAAGAAAGATGAGGCAGTCTGCTTCTGTAAAGATTTACAGCCTAGGAAACCCAATGGGGGTCACGAGTTGGAACTGACTCAATGGCAGTGAGTTTGGTTTGGTTACGTCAACTTCACGGCAATGGGTTTGGTTTCTGGGTAACAATGGTTTGAAGTAAGGAAGTGGCAGTGAAACTAGAGAACATGAGATGGATATACGAGAAATACTAAAGAAAGGGAATTGACAAGATTTGGTAAGGAAATGAACATGAAGGAGAGGAAGTAGTTCAAAACGCTTCTGAGTTTTCAGGCCTGGGATCCAGACAGAGCCACAAATAGAAACCAATTCACACAGGAACAGGAACAGGTTAGGGGAAATAGACCTAAAATAAGTTATACAGTGGGATTTCATGTACAAATGGAAAATCAGTTGAGATCTATCCAAGAAGCAGCTGGAAATTAGGGACAGAAGTTTGGGAGAGAAGGTAGGATTCATATTGATGCCAGGTATTGATGCCCTTCCTGAATCCATACCCAGGAAGGAACATGGTCCTTGGTGGAATGGAGTGTCAGGCAGTCCTGAGGACGTACGCTGCACTGAACCAGATACAAGGACTTTATATACTTGATTACATGCAAGGAAAGCCCACTTACTCATGTTAAGTTTCAATAGGTTACACAGCACGGTCTCTGGAGGAAAATCTCTAAAGCTATGATTTTCATGTTACTTTACCATGGGATGGGATGATGACGTCCCCTCTGATGACTCATTCTTCTTATGACTGATTAAAACACACTTGATCACAGGCAGGTCTTGGTTTGTCAAAGTCCCGCATATTATTGCTGAAAACACAGCTGCAAGAGAAAGCGAATACAATGATGTTTGCACGTGCACACCTTAAAAAGGAACCATGCGTCCATCCAACAATGAAACGAAATGAAATCAAGGAATATTGGCCAACATGAGAGTACACAGGAAACAATGTAATAAAAGGTAAGTCTTTGGGAATTCAGGGGTGGAGGTGCTTAGAGCAGAGCTATCCAGCAAAACATTTTCCTATGTTGGGAACTATTCCATGTTGGTGCTATGCAATAAGGGATTCTGGTGGTGCAGTGGTTAAAGCATTGGGCGGCTAACCCAAGGTCAGTAGTTCGATCCCACCAGCCACTCTGCAGGGAGAAAGATGAGGCATTCTGCTTCCACAAAGATTTACAGCCTTGGAAACCCTATGCAGCCTTTCTACTGTGTCCTCTAGGGGCGCTGTGAGTCAGAATGGAATCAATAACAATGGATTTGGGGCTATCCGATTTGGCAATCACTACTCACGTGCAGCTCTTGAACATTTGAAATGAGGCTAACGACTGAGGAGCTGAATGTTAGCATAAAAGCCATTCTCTTTTTCTTTATGGAAGGTTCTGGAAAACCAAACCAAGCCCACTGCCCATTGAGTCAATTCTGACTCATAGTGATGCTGTAAAACAGAGTAGAACTGCCTCATAGTGTTGCCTTTATGGAGTGAACCTTTATGGAGAGGAGCTCTGGTGGCATGGTGTTTAAAGCATTTGCTAGCCGAAAGGTCAGTGGTTTGAACCCACCAGCTGCTCCGTGGGAGACAGATGATACAATCTGTTTCTGTAATCACCTTGATGGCAGTGAGTTTTTTTGGGTTTAATCTTTGCAGAAGTGGACTGCCACTTAGGGCTGAGCGCTTTAATCTCTGCACCCCCACCCCACCCCCACCCCCCTGGGCTCCTTAGAGAAGCTTTTCATTGTAACCAGTGTAGGAAAGTTTATTTTCATCCCTCATGCTGGACTCCCCGGAGGCTTTTCAATCTAGAAACGCATATCCTGTGTGGGGACGTTTTCTTGAATTATTTCTTTGCTTCCTTCTCTTTCTTGCCCTTCCTGTTTTCCTATTATTTTGGAGGTTCTCCCCCAAATGACTAACGATCTTAGACAGTCTGCTAATAAATAAGAATGAAGTGCTACATGTTCACGCTAAGCTCTAGGCACAGGTGGGGCTTATCATGAAGTCTTGTCTCCTGGGAGGAGCTCTGGTGGTGCAGTCATTAAGGCATTTGCTTCTAACTAAAAGGTTGGCCGTTGGAACCCATCAGCTGCTCTGTAGGAGAAAGATGTGGCAGTCTGCTTTCCCTAAAGATTGACAGCCTTGGAAATGCGATTGGGCAGTTCCATTCTGTCCTCTAGGGGCGCTGTGAGTCAGTATCGACTCCACAGCAGTGGGTGTGGTTTGGGCTTTGCTTCTGTGAAGATTGACAGCCTAGGAAACCCTGTGGTGCATTCCACTCTGTCCTCTAGGGGCGCTGTGAGTCAGAATCGACTCCACAGCAGTGGGTGTGGTTTGGGCTTTGCTTCTGTGAAGATTGACAGCCTGGGAAACCCTGTGGGGCAGTTCCACTCTGTCCTCTAGGGGCGCTGTGAGTCAGAATTGACTCCACGGCAGTGGGTGTGGTTTGGGCTTTGCTTCTGTGAAGATTGACAGCCTAGGAAACCCTGTGGTGCAGTTCCACTCTGTCCTCTAGGGGCGCTGTGAGTCAGAATTGACTCCACAGCAGTGGGCGTGGTTGGTTTTTAAGTGTAAATCATGTTCCTCCTTAGCTTCTCAACCTCCAGCTTATGCATAGTTCATCCTTCTTCATCTGCTTTCTAGCTTCCAAAATATTATTTTCTCCTTCACCATTGTCTTAGTCCCTGTGTATTTGTCTTTTTTATTTTCCCCCCCTCAATGTAGGAAAACTGGTGGAGACTGGACGTAGACGTATGTGTTCAGCATTCTTTGTATCATAACCTGAGACAGTCTCATTCTGCTTACATGCCTCAGTAGTGAGCTATGGGAATTATACATTAAGACACATTCTTTGATTTGTTATTCTGTTCATTTTCTTTAATTCTTAACTAATAAACCACATTACAGCAATACTAACGAGCCCAAAGCAAACCTACTGAGGGTAAGTAGATTCAGACTCACAGCGCCCCTAGAGGACAGAGTGGAACTGCCCCACAGGGTTTCCAAGGCTGTCAATCTTCACAGAAGCAAATCCCAAACCAAACCACTGCAGTGGAGTCGATTCTGACTCACAGCGCCCCTAGAGGACAAAGTGGAACTACCCAGTAAGATTTCTTTGATTACATAAGTACATATCTGTAAAACCATCACCAGACTCAATGTAGTAACTGTATCCAGTTTATCCATCACCCCCAAAAGTTTCCACATGCCTTTTCGGGATCTACCCTTCTCTCCATGCCCAGGCGACCTATGATTTGCTTTCTGTCCCTATAGATTAGTTTGAATTTTCTACAAATGGAATCACACAGCACACCCTTTTTTTTGTCTGGCTTCTTTTCAGTTCTATCACCAGGGAAGTGTGGGAGTGCAGACCACACCTGGTGACACCGCTGGAAGGGATAATACCAAAGTGACTGTTTGCAAAATTTTTGTGCAGTCAGCAGAAATTTATCATTTTTTTATAAAAATATCCCTGTAGTTAGTTACAACAACAAAAACATTTTTGTAATCCCAACTTCATGCGTCAATATACCTACAAGGCTAAAATTCTATGCTAATTTACTTCTTGAACATTCTAAAGTGCTCAGGGCAGAACTGTCATTACTATCCAATCACAGTGATGCTTCAAATTACATGGTTTTGTCTGCACCTCTACAAGCTGTTTTTAATGGTACTAATTCTGTCAGTACCAAATAGTGTTTGCTATTCATAAGGTTTTCCCTGGTCCACGGAAGAGGGGGAGGCCTTCAACGAGATGGATTGATATGGTGGCTGCGATGATGGGCTCAAGTATAGCAGGGATTGTGGGGCTGGCGCGGAATGGGGCAGTGTTTCGTTCTGCTGTGCATGGGGTCGCTATGAGTCGGAAACGACTCGACGGCACTTTACAACAACAACAACAATTTTGTCAGATTTTTTGGTGTTTTAACTACAAAACTGTGGTAAGTAGTATTTGTGTATAACTTTTTGAGAATGAATAGTAATTACTATTCATTAGGAAAAGGAGGAGAAAATTTTTTTCCAAAGGCTTTTGTTCAGTTACTAATAATGCTGCAACGAATAAAAGTTGTAATTCAATGTAGAGAGATTTTACAAAACACTTTTGCTGTTAGTATTCATATAATCTAAGAAACACTGCATTTAAGCCATTTACAAATATATTTATCAGATATTATTCTACAATTTAAACTGATGATAAACATTACTCAGGATTCTGTGTGGTCTGATATAGGAAGAGCTTCATGGTGGGGTGTGTGTGACCCCTGAGTTACTGAGCTGGGTGACACCAACCTAGTTGCACCATTGCTTACTTTTTGTCTGGTTCAGTATTTTATTAAGATTCATCCATGTCATAGAATATATCAGGAGTTCATTACTTTTCATTGCTGCATAGTATTCTATTAGGATGGATTTGAACATACTGGCAATTCATGACTGGACAACATTACATTCTATCTGTTGTACATAAGGTTGCCATGAACTGGAACTAGAACTAAGGACAGCTATCTGTTGATCTATCATCTATCCATCTAGTATTCTATTATATAGCTATAAGAACATTTTAATCCATTCTCCAACGTTGATAGACATTTGAGTTGCCTTCACTCTTGAGTTCCTACAAATAAAGCTGCTATGAACATTTGTATAAAAAGCCTTTGTATATATGCTTTCATTTCCCTTGGGGTAAATTCCATGCAGTGGAATGGCTAAGTCATTTGGTGAGTGTGATGGTTGGAGCTGTGTGTCAACTTGGCTGGACCCCAGTTCTGGGTGGTTGTTCCCATCAGATGACTGAGTTCTGAGCGGCCAGTCTGCCCAAGGGGAGTTTCCCTAGGGGCCTGCTTGCAATGATATTCCAAGGACAATCTGGAAGAACGGCATTCTGAACTACAGACTTCCTTGAGTGAGCGGCTCACCGCTCCCCTGGAGATCTCGGATTCATCTTTTATTGGAAACAACAACCAATATACTGCATGCCAGCTTGAATCTC